GTGTGTGTGTGTGTGTGTGTCGCGTGTGTATCCATTCAATAATACTATTGCGCCAAATATTTACTTACTAGTTGTAAATATTTGTTATCTTCATATGTTTATATGGTTCTAAAAAGTAATACAATTTTTATAATTGTAAGACCAAGTTATAGTGACTTTACGATGTCTGATATATGACTGAAATTACTTATCACAACTGTTATATATTAAATATATAAAAATAAACACACAATATTATTTTATTTCTTGTTATTTTCAGATGTAATTTTTCTCATAAAGATATGAAAAATATAATTTTAGAAGTGTACAAAAGATATTTATTTTTGATTATTTTTGGATATATTTCACAGGTATAAAAGAAAATCAAATCAGTTGACATTAATAATCTTCTTTATTTAATGTCTTAAATAAGACATTAATAGTCTTATTTAAGTTACTGACAAATTTTATTAATGAAGTTTAATTTATATAAAAATATTACTTTAAGAATATTATTATTATATTATTTTATTCCTAATATTTAAATTAAACTTTGCAATTCTATAAAAGTTAAAACATAAAGATAAGATAGAATCCTGAAATTTTTTATCATCTAATTAATAGCGTTTATCACTTTATTTCGCAAAATTTTAAAAATAAACTGGTCTGGTTCATAAATTTTGGAAAATGTCAAGTATAATAGTATAGTCAAGTATAATAGTAATATTTATTACGTGCATACAATAATATTGAAATGTTCATGATTAAAAGATTGATAATTAATATCGTAACAATATTGTACGTGATATATTTGTGTTAAAACAATTTGTGTTACAGAAATTTTTTTTCATAAAAGTAATTTAAATAGAATTTAGTTTATGCGATTTTGTCTTATCTGTATTTTTATTATCTAAATATAATAGTCTTTTGTGTTATAAATAGAAGGAATAGCTGGGAGATAATATCCGGAAAAATGTTAGAATTATGGTAAGTATATGCATTATACATTTTATTATGAACAATATTTGTTGATAATCATAATTGGGATTAATTTATAATTAAAAGATGGAAACTTATTATTAATTCAATAATAAGTACTTAAAATATTTGAATTTTATAAAAATTGAAAAGAAAGTTTTATTTATATGTTTATGCTTTCATGTGATACATTTATCAATATCTAAGTAGATAAATTATTGAATCATGCAGTGAGTAAAAAATCAATATTTTATATTTATTTTACAAATAAAAATCTTGAATAAAATTATAAGATATAGGATACCATTATTATTATAATTATATACATTAATATTATTATTATACATATTTGAATATTATATACATATTTGAATTTAATTTAATTATATTGTAATATATGTATGCCGGGATTAAATATCTCAATATTGATATGAAAACATTTATCATTGACGTCACGCGATTAGAAACACATGATATACATAAAATACTTACGTTGTTTCTTATCTCTTCTAGTTTTGTGAATAGAAAATGAGCATAATTACATATTTTTTAAAATCTTTCTTCGAGTAAAATAACAAAACATAAGTATGTATTATTAATTGCTAAGAGAATAAGAGAAATTCTAATGTTTGTAATAATTTCGGATTCAATATCTCTCACGAAAGTATATGAGTTATGTACTTATATATTGTTTTACCTGCTACTTCTAGGACCAATATAAAATAAAGAGACAATAATATGATAAATTTAATTTGATACTTAGTAATCTGCGTAAGAAAATTATGTTTAATAAATTATATATTTTACATTTTTATAATGAATTTCTTTTATATGTTGATTATAGATTCATTATATCTGGAATTTCGTCATGGAAGTAATGTCGCGAGATGGTGAATGTTGAAGCTTAATTTATTTTATAATTAATTAAAACAGCATCAAGTGCGCGTCGTTTATTCTCTAAACATTTCGCTCGTTTTTTATTTTTGTCAGTGATATAAATTATTATAATTTGCAGAAAATAGACTGATGAGGTCAGATCGTTCACAGAATAATTTCGTTGCTGATCTATGACATAGGATATATATTGGCTCTGAAGATCAATAATAAAGAAGAAGAAGACTAATAGTATTGTCATGACGCTCTCACAATGGGTACAGCTAGTTTATCCCTTAAGTTCAGAAACTCTCGGGGATATTATATCGCTCCACCACATTAATAGGATTCATTTCCCATTTCCTCCGTTTCATGGAGGATTATCGTTAATAAAAAGCTATAAATTATTAATTGCAAATAATAAAAAAACTACGTAATAGATGCACGAAATGACATATCTCAGATCAATATCCTACTGAAAATCTGAAATTAGTATATTTTGATGGCTTTGTGGCGTTCTAATCATCAGGTAGGCCTTTTTTAAAAACGGTAACAATAATGAAACATGCAAAGTTTTATAAAAATTTTACAAATGATGTGAATATATTTAAATTACTGAGATAAGAAACGTCACGAGATCCTTTTTTGGAATATATTCTATTTTTATCTGCAATAACAAATTCGCAATAATTGATTTCAAACTTTGTAATTTAGTATTTCTTATGAAAATTATATATGCTACTCTCTAGGAATGAAATAAGATCATTTATAATCTGCGATTACGTCGGTCACGTTTTAAATAATGAATTGCACTTGAATAGCGGTCATTATAAATGACGTAGTCATTATACAGGAAGACGATAAGAGAGAGCTTCCGGGATTAACTCGTGATTCCGATCGTTCCGCGAAAATATCGCCAATTCGGGGCTGTTTACACGTCGGATTCTCGGTCGTAAATTGTGACGAGATCCCGTCACGTAGCCCGTCGAATTTACTGATGATGATCGTGCCGCGATGGATAAAGGCGGCCTCGCCTTTTTAACGACATATGATATCAATAGCGCGTTAATACGTCGCCTCCGATGTAACGCAGTATCGACCGTGCTCATCTCGCTAAGATGCCATGGTATTTCAGCGATAATCTTCCCGATCGGCATCGTATCTAGAAGCGCGGCGAACTGTTCTTAAACTTTAACTTAAATGAAAATTCTTTTCAAATCGGCGTGGATTGCTAAATATGCTGATACATTTTTTGCAAAGTATACACAGCGACGGCAAATTTAATTTTTATTGCGGTGGAATCTGGCCGTTTATCTTTGCCTCCGAGGCAATTTTAGTTACATCAACATCAAGATACGTATTGAATTGGATTGGATGAAGAAAGAGAGATAGAGATACCTGTTTATAAATACCGTTTATAATCTGCCTTGTTTCTAGAAAAAAAAAAAAAAAAAAATCAGAACGCGAAAGATAAGACTTTGAATTTTATTTAAGTTTTGTCGATATTCAATTGTTTTTGTTTATTTGTTAGTAGAACTTAGTAGAACTGATCAATAATTTTTTCTCTTATCATCTGAAAAAGTTGATATATAATTAGACAATTACAATATTAAAAAGTTTATTTAAAAGGAAATTACGAAATGTATCGGTATTTATTCGTTTATGAATAGTTGCGGAATATTATAATAAATATCGGAAAACAGAAATATAGAAAATGAAATAATTAATGGAATTAGGAATAAGAAGACATAAGAGACGTAATACGACTAAATCATTTATTCGAATATATACTTTTCGCTAATTAATAAATGAAGGAAGCGCTTCAAATTGCACACAAATAAGTTTACGGAAAGGTATTTCGTTAGTCCGAAAAGATTTGCAAACAATAAGAAAAGATAACTTTGACGCAGAGGACGTTGTTAGAAATGTTTTCATAAAATATTGATATCATCTGCAGTATCTGCGGCAAGTAAACATCGCCGCGAGGATAAACGAAGAAAGAGATATATATATATATATATATATATATATATGTATATTT